GGAGGGCTGTCGATTGCGGGCAGGATCTCTGCCTGGCAAGCCGATTACCCGGCGCAAGGGCTTGAAGGCAGGCCAAAGCGTTGCATTACATAACATAACTAAACCTCATTTGTTTAGCAGTAGTCGACGCTATTTTGGTTGCACCTTGTCTCTAAATTATGACAAAATTAATATTTGACACGTAAAGAACATTTATTATTAAATTTACAATATGTTTGGTGCTAATACGTTCACACTTCAAAGTAGCGCCACGGCACTGCTGCTAAACAATTGAGGTTTTGTAATGTTGCCACCCCCACCACCCGCCGCGGCGGCCATCTTTCTTCTGTTCTTCTTTACGCGTAGGCCCTCTGTAGTCAGAAAACATATTAATATACTTTAAAAGATTAAGACAAATTGCTCTAAAAACCTGATTCAGAGTAAAAATTCTAGATTTTGTCTTAACTTCAAAACTTTGATTAATAATAGTCTGATAACAAGATCCAGAGTGCGAATTCTGAACCACATCTTCTCCATTGTCAGAAGTTTTTTTTTAGAGTGCAATGAAGTTTGGAGTGTAACTCAATTTTTGCCAGAGTTATCTTGGATACGAACAAACAGAATGAAACTTTTCAGTGGAGTAATGTTCTTCAGTAAACGCTCAGCTACAAGTCACGGGGCCCGGGTTTGTCCTTTCAGACGCTCCCCGTGGGCCGTGTGCCGTGTGCGGACTCGAAGGCTCGCCGTGTGGCGACTGCCAGCTGGACTACTACTGCGGCGAGGAGCACCGGGCCGAGGACCTGGCGAGGCACCAGGCGGGCTGCCGGGTGCTGGAGCTGCGCACGGATGGCAGACTAGGGCGCCACGTGGTGGCGACCAGGGACATCCCCGCCGCTACCGTGATCCTGCGGGAGCTGCCGGCCCTCGCCATTCCGCCGCCGTGGACCAAGGAGGAGCAGGTGGGCAGTTGTCTCGGTACAGGGTTGCCGTGCGTTAGGATAATCGTGAAAACTGTCTCGCTTGACGTGTATGAAAATTTGAAAATGAAAACACCCGCAGTAAAATAATGAGCTAGCGACCAAAGAAGAACAGGAATGCTTCCTGAACTGTTTCCTCCTTGACGCTCATTGGCTGACGCGGACGAAGTTCGTGAACCTGCCACCAGATCTGCGACTACCCTAGTGCTGGGTCCGAGAACTTCGTCCTCGCGAGCCAATGAGCGTCAGGGGGGAAACAGTTCAGGAAGCATTATTGTTCTTATTTGGATCCGGTTTAAACTGGGTGAAATACCCTATTATTACTTTTGCAACATTATCGGGGTTGTGAGAACTAGAAATACGTGGTTCCCATTCCGTTGTCGTTGTCTGAACTATTACAGTGCCCTTTGAGCCAACCATAAGATGGTTGCCATGGCAAATGTTTTTTTCTGGGTAAGCGTAGCAGCTGATTTCTGTGTATTACTGATAGTAGCAAAAGTCGCTCTGCTGTTTATCTAAATTAAAAGTTTAAACTGTTCTGTAAAGCTTGTTAAACACACGGGACATGATTTGGCGTTGGCGCCGTGCATTTACTATTAAGGCGAATTCTTCTGATTAGACTTTTTTAAAAACTCGATCCAAAATCGTTCATTTTCTGGGGAAACGCCCGAGGAGAAAATCACTCCGGAAGAAAGTGTTCACGAAAAAAAAAGTACGTTCCACAAGCTATAGGGTATTTCAATGGAGCGCTGCCCGGAACGAAGACGAACAAAAACGAATACAGAGCGGTGGTGGGGGCGGGCGGAGGAGAGGAATGGATCCACAGATCGGAGCGGAGTAGGTCCCCCTCCGAGCGGCTCGGCTCGGCGGCGGCACCGCCCGAGTGACCGGGGAGAAACCCTACCCTATTGATTAGCTGTGATAGCTCATATATTAGCTACCCGGGCACTAATTAACCTTTCAGCTTTGACAGCTGTACATTTGCTGCGGTAGCCACGCATTAGTTGAGGGACCTAATTGCGTCATCTTAACCAGATCATGCAGAGTAAGCTGTTATACGGAAGCATTAGTTCCTGCAGCTAATATTTAACTACCACAGCAAAAGTTGAGCTTTTACAGCTTGTACATCTAGTTTTTGGCGTTATGTTACATAATTTATGCAAAATTTTGTGATAATAGCACTTCTTCGCTTGATTCCCACCATTAGTACGCGTTATTACGCAGTTAATACGAGTTATATTGTCTTTTGTACACAGACCTAGGTGTACGAGTTAATACGCATGTCATTTCCCCCTCGGAAACATCCCTTTGCGTTTCAACTGTCCGTAACAACGAGCGCTAATGATGCCTGTCTAAACGTTTGTCATCACAGCTCAACACGCGCCTAGAAGTATTCCAGCAGGCTTATTGTGTGGGCTGCCTGGCGGACAGAGACATCACCTACAATAGGCAGTGTGCTTCTTGCGGCTGGCCCGTGTGTCGCAGCGCGTGTAGCAAGAGCGAAGCGCACAGGGCGGAGTGCGAGGCATTCCAGCGTGCTGGCTTCAAACTGAATACTGGTGAGTAAGAAATTAATCAGCTCGTGTCTGAGAATGTAGAAATTGTACATTTCTTCGATGTGTTTACTCGCGAGCCAAATCACTCGCACACTAAATCTGAGAGGACTTAAACTGTCTATAGAAAGACGCGTTTTTGTACGCATCTTAACCGGATGCAGATAAGAGAAGCCGGACGCACGAGCTTTCGGGCCGGCTGGCGAGATCCCGTCAAAAGCTCGCGCGTTCGGCTTCTCTAATGCTGATATAAGAATCACTGAAAAGTTTTCTTGATTATATGAAAAAAATGTTACTTCGCAAAGAAATAATTTACGAAATTTTTCGTTAGTGTCAATTTACGAAACGTTTCGTAAAGTTATAAATATGTTTCGCAATGAATGCAAATTTTTGGGTTAAACGTCTTAAAATTAGACTAAAATTACATCAATTTTCACACCGCGTAGATGGAGCTTCGAATTTTACAAATCAATTAGTACAATATCGAGGTATCGTAATTTGTTAAAAACGAAGTTTTTCGTAATAGAAAATTAACCTAGAAAATATCGTGAAATTACGATAATTGTATTTACTGTGAAGTGAGGATTAAATCTGCATCTGCCGGATGCCATCCGGATGCCATCCGGTTGAGATGTGCACAAAAACGCGTCTTTCTATTGACAATAAAAGTCCTTTCAAATTTAGTGTGTTGGGTTCGAAGCGCACGAGTTATTTCCTGGTATTTCTACCGCTATTTCGGATAAATTCGGGGTATTTCGCGGTATTTCACAGTATTTCCAGGGTATTTCGCGACAATTTCACCAACGATTTCTTATCTATTTCACTTTTATTTCGCTCTATTTTGCCTTTATTTCGAACTATTTTCGTTGAAGGTGTACACACCTAATCTGAGAGGACTTTTACTGTTCATAGAAAGGCGTGGCGTGTTTCTTTGTGCACATCTCACAAGGGAACCCCGCCAAGTGTAAATTCCCGATTTTCATTCTACTTTGGGAAATTGTTGGTCTAAATATGTCATCGAAGGACACATCAAAGATTTTTGCTTAAATTCATATTTAGGGGTCATTTTGGGTATTTGTTCAAAAAGCTGCTATTTCAATTATTTTTTAAAACTTTCAAGAATGCTTCCTAAGGGGTAACTCGTCAAATTGCGGCCCTCTGGGCGAAAATTTCGTCCGTTTTGCTCTATCTAAAGCCGTTTAGGCGCTACCGCCACGTGTAGGAGGGGAAATGTACGGGAATCACTAGGGCTTAAGAGAAGCGGTTGTAAAAAGCAGTCCCACAAAAAATGTTATAAAACAAAAGTTTTAGAAAAATGAAAGCTCTTTAACTTTTGTTTTATAACATTTTTTGTGGGACTGCTTTTTACAACCGCTTCTCAGTGATTCCCGTACATTTCCCCTCCTACACGTGGCGGTAGCGCCTAAACGGCTTTAGATAGAGCAAAACGGACGAAATTTTCGCCCAGAGGGCCGCAATTTGACGAGTTACCCCTTAGGAAGCATTCTTGAAAGTTTTAAAAAATAATTGAAATAGCAGCTTTTTGAACAAATACCCAAAATGACCCCTAAATATGAATTTAAGCAAAAATCTTTGATGTGTCCTTCGATGACATATTTAGACCAACAATTTCCCAAAGTAGAATGAAAATCGGGAATTTACACTTGGCGGGGTTCCCTTGTCAGCTGGATGCAGATTGGAATCTAGCAAGTGAGAAATGTGTATCTTAATGATGGACATTTTTTAAAATTAATTGTCCTGTAAAATTATGATGCTAATTTGTCACTTGCTGGATTCAAATCTGCATCCGGCTGAGATGTGAGATGTGCACAAAAACGCGTCTTTCTATGGACAATAGAAGTCCTTTCAGATTTAGTGTGCACCGGTGTGTACGAACTATTTCGCAAGTGATTTCCCTTCGTGTGTACCTTTGTTATCGCTGTTAGACGCGAAACTTCGCAATTGCAAAGAAAAATGCTTCGTAATTACAAAGGATCAAAATTCTTCGCAATCGCGAAGCATTGCTTCGCAGTATTTTAACAGTGAGCGTAGGTGCAAGTAGTTACTAGTACTTTCGCGGTACGGACAAAATTGTACCTTATAAAGATGTGCATGACTCTCGTGGTTAACGCGCGAAGTTTCTTTGCAGAGTCAAGAAACAAGGCAGGACGTATCCTTTGGATGGCATTGGCTGCTCTGAGGTCACACCTAGCCATGGAGAAGAAACCTAGCCTGCGCCTGCAGGACCTACAGGCTACGCACACTCAGGTATAATTAACCTTATTCAAGTGCAAGTGTACACTAAGTGTTACTTACTAGTTTTCTTCATTGAACAGGAACATTTTTGACCATCCCTCCAGAAACCATATAAGTTCCTGAAGTTGAACTAATTGCGTCAAGTTTTACATCAAATTCCCATAGTTTTAGGAATGAAATTGCATTTGATCTGGATGTGCACGAAAACTTTTCACTTCTTTAGGAAAAATACTGACCGTTAACATAGAGTGTAATAAACTTTCCCTCTTTTGAATACAAACGATTTAATTGCGAAATGGCAAACAGATCCAAACGTCCGTCCGTTGAAACAAATTACCGGCTAAATGAGCAGGGACTAATGTCTGTAGTAAGATAAATTTTCAAGCAAGTCTTGATCAGATGCATTTTGGCAACTTCAAGGGACAAACTTGCATCCTTTTGTTACCTCTGTCCACTTTAGTTATGCCCGAGGGGGTAATCACTTGGGTTCGTGGCGTACGGGGCTATTTCGTGGTATTTCTCCTGCCATTTGATTATTTCTCGCAAATTTCGGAGTATTTCAGGGTATTTCGCGGCATTTCGGAGTATTTCAGGGATATTTCGCCACCATTTCACCGACTGTTTTGCAAATATTTCGGGTCTATTTCGCTCTATTTCGCATTTATGTCGGACTATTTCGGGGGAAGGTGTACGAACCATTTCACAAGTGATTTCCCCCTCGGATACGCCAGTTCGTCCCTCGTCAGTTGGTGCAACGCACCTGGTCAAGATTGCTTTAAAATGTATCGAGTAATAGGCCTATTCGTCCTTTGAAAAGTTATTAAGATTGCGAGTGTTCATATGAATACCTTGGATGTCCGTCAGCCTCTGCCGGCGGATGGGGTGCAACCCCCCGTGCTGGGCGTGAATGACTACGTCAGCTGGCGAGCCGAGGAGGCGGTCTCCGTCAAGATGAAGAAGGACTGGCCCGCCGCCGCTCGGTGGCTGCGTGAAACGGCCGGCCTGAGTTGGTTGACCGAGGAGGAGCTTGTACGCGCCGCGGGCGTGAACGACATCAACGGCATCAACCTCAACCCTCTCAACTGTGACGACGACCTGAACGTAAGTGTCCATATCGTTAAATGTGCATTGCAGTAATCGGAAGTTAGGCATCGTGACGAGCACGGTGCCGAAGTCAAATGTCAAATCTATTTGCAAATCAAGATGTCAGTTTTAACAACTGCAAGACTGTGGCGAATTTTACAGTTTAAGACGAGGTTTAGACTGTAATTTTTCTGACAATGTACTAAAATTTGTTTTCCGAGAACACCGCCTTCTTCGTCTTAATTCTCTATTTAACGAGTCTACTTGTGATAGGGTTGTGATTTATATTGAGACTGCTTCACTCACTTTAATGATTTCTATATTAAGGATTCACTCCTTATCATGTACGCATAATACTTGCTTATTAACAAATCGCAATAGCCCCATCACACGAAGACTCGTTCGAGTGAGAATTTTTAGACCAAGAAACTAGCTTTTTTTAGAAATTATATTTAAACTCATGGTCAGTGAATTATTGCAGTTTCAATTTAGGTTCAGCTGTATAAACCAGTCTTGAAGTTGAAACTGACATCCTCTTCTTAAAGAAAAGGTAAAAAATTGAAGGAACACCCCTTCAGGAAAAACGCAGATTTTTTAAACTGCTAAAAAAACGAGGAAAATTTCCAAAATTTTTGGGAGATTTATTCCTTAATCTGATGACTCTTTCCTGAAACATGCATGCTCACTTCCATAGAAGTTTTTCCCATTTTCCTCCATAAAATCAGATTTTTTTAAAATCTTGAGGCTGGGAAGAAACGCTCAGCTCACTCCCGCCGGGGAACAACCACCTCTTTCGAATGATACCAATATTACATTTTCGATGAAAAAGCGACTTAAGCGGTTGTCGGGAGCGCCCAGCTAACTGAGCGGTTGTTCCCCGGCGGAAGTGACCTGATCGTTTTTTTTTTGTTTTTTTTTCCCCAGCCTCAGAGGCGCTGAGCGGTTGTGGTTCGGAGGTATCGAGCTGTTTAAATTCTGATTCAAGGGAAAGATCGCCACATACCTGTTTCCTGCGGTGTCCATGGTGGAGCACGACTGTGACCCCACGGGGATGCTTTTGGCGCGGGACCCACACAGCCAGACTATGGAGCACATTGTGGTGACGACCAGGGACGTGTCGCAGGGCGAGCACATCAGTCTGGACTACTTGGACTCTCCGTATCAGGTTTGAACTAGTAACCTATCTTTTTGCACCTATGTCCCCAAGGGGTGGATAACTCCCCTGCCAAATGTACACCTCTAATTTTGCTCAATTCAAACTAATTCAGACCAATTCAATCTAATTCAACTAATTCAGTCCAATTCAAGCCAATTTACATTCAATTCAATTCAAGCCAATTCAAGTCAATTCACGCTAATTCAGTAGAAAAAAATCAAAATAATTCAAACCAATTCGAAAACAATTCAACCAATTCAGTCCAAGTCAAATTCAATTCAAGCCAATTCACGCTAATTCAAATTCAATTTTTGAAATTTGTACACCCAATTCAGGAGTTATCCACCCCTCGTATGTCCCTCTTCGGAATTTGTTGCGCTGTTACTCAAGTTTCAGGTACTCGACGTAGATTGTAGCAGTAGACCCTTCGCGATCTGACTGACGGCCGGATAGTAGCGTCGCCATTTGTCCAATTTTTTTATATATATTTTTTTCATATTTTTTAATGCGATGTGCAATGTATACATTACTCTGCATTTATTTGAACGTAATTTTTCACAACTGTGTGCTGAACTCGTAAGGTATAATACAACACAAATTTGTGCGTAATTCTGCATTGGTTTATCCGCCTAGAACGACGCACAAAAATTTACACAAACATCTAGTGTTTAAATGGGAAAAGACATTTTTTTATCCAGATAGGAGGCGTTCTCCAGCACATCTAAAGTTAATGCAAATTGGGATCTGATAAGTTACAATTTGGTCTTAGCGTGTTCACAAAAAACCTTTTTTGTGTCTAGTTAAGAGATATATTTGCATACGATTGAGATGTTCTTAAGAACACATTCTCGCTGGGTACAAAATTGTCCCTACCCAGTAAGAGTGTGTAAGCAACCGACCCAAAGGGCTCATGTCCAATGGTTCAGGTAGAATATGGTCCAAAGAACTAAACGATACCTTACCCGTTCATGTTAGTAAGGGTTGTGGGTGACTTTGGAGGATAAGTGCTGTTTGTTATTTCGTTGAAACGGTAATTTACCCACTAAATCTGAAAGGACTTTGACCATGGAAAGACGCGTTTTTGTGCACATCTCACTGGATGCGTATTGGAATCTTACAAGTTACGAACTTGCCTACTGATGGACACAAAAATAATTGTGCAGAAAAAGGGATGCTAATTCGTCACTTCCTGGATTTAAATCTACATCCAGTTAAAGTGCACCAAAACGCGTCTTTCTATTGGCAGTAAAAGTCTTTCAGATTTAGTTTGCAAGAGCTAGAATCTTCATCTTTGAAGTCGATGTGATGGTGCAAAATGACAAGAGTGCTGCTGCGCATTCAGATGCCGGCTACGAATACACATTACTCTCATTTTCTTACGACTGACTCGCTTCCGGAGAATTTTGTGCTAACGTATTAATGTGAATCACACACCATCCGATGAAGGCTACGGACGATTTCATGTGTATTTACGGATGATTTGTGATCCGTATTTCGCTTTCACAAAATTCTCCGTTAAGAAACTAGAGTCGCGTATAGTATGACATAAGGGTGGTTTGTGATTCAGGACGGCGTGACCAGGCGATCTCTCTTATGTCGGGGCTGGAACATCGACTGTCACTGCCGTTTGTGCGAGGATCCTACCTCTGCTGGGCTCTTCCTCGGCTCACCATGCTGTCCGGACTGTAAAGGTAGGTAACCTCAGCGGTAGAACCTTGAAATAAGACAGGAGGGAAACTGGGAAAGTCAGGCTGATTTATTTCTTAGTAGATATCTATGCTTTTACGCAGCAGGAACTACTGATTTAATTGTTACTTATTTTGGTTATTTTTGAAATTTACTCACTGATACCATAAGAAATTGTCAGTAGTGAAAAATGGAATTATTTCGAAATAATGAGAAATTTGTCAGTAGCTGAAATGTTTTTGAACGGGAAGGATAGGGGTAAAAAACAACCTAGACCCGCCCTTCTGTCAAACGAAGTTGCCAGCTTCACTTTGCTCCGCACGCATCTCCGTTTGACAGGGGCCTGGCCTAGCTTGGCCTGCCGGTGGCGAAAAAAAAATCAGTCTGCTGGAACGCATTTTAAATAAGAAAAGGGGGGGGGGGCTGCGGCCCTGCGGCTCTGAAGATTTTCTCCTTGGACATGAGAGAAGACTGCGCGCAAAAAAATGAGTGAGCTAATTTAGCTTTGATAGCTGGTATTGGTTAGCTGTCTCGCTAAGGTAGTTATCTACTGGGCCAATAGTCAGCTGTGCACCTAAATCAAGTTAGCGACACTTCTTTCATACAATTTAGGTTTGGGCTAGAATTTCGGGTTGCGTTAGCTCTCCCTGATGAGCCGCCACGCCCGTTACCCTCCGTGCACGCTGTTAACTGGTTGGCGTCCTATGACGACAAAATATTGGCGTTCAATGACAGTTTACAGTAAACATGCAAACACTTATTGAAGAATAAGCTTTGTATTCATTTGTTACTTATTTACAATTTGTCTGGCGTTTCAGAGCGTGGTGTGAAGCGGCTGATGGTTGTGGAAACACTCTCCAATGAGAATTCCAAAGCCAAGTACCGTTGCCAGGATTGCACACAGTCTGATAACGTTCCGTCTACAACCCTTGCGGAGAGGTTCTTACTGCTGCAGAAGTCAACCATCAGTGGATTCGGAGAGTTCGAGCCCCTAATAAAGCGGGTGATCTTTCCGAAAGGACCTCTGCACCGTGACCATCGTCTCATCCTGAGCGCAGAATTTGCTGCTAGCCTATTCATACGCATACAAGTCATCATGAAAAGCATTCCCGAAGGTGAGACGTTCATGTGCAATAATCTGTGAGAATCGGGATTCCAGTTCGAAATCGAACTTCGCAAACTTTTCTCTTTTTCGAATCGAATCTCCTGGGCCATAATGTGAAGTGTCATGAATCTTTGAGCGCGAGGTGCGTCGAGGGGTCCCCCCACTGCTAAAATAGGTGCAGTACGAGTTGGCGGCACACTAGTAAGGCGCGAGTTGGTTGCATTTTTCAACGGTTTTAGCGTGAGTTTTCGCAGTGGGGCGCAAGCTAGTGTTCCGGGTGATTCAGAGAATACGCAGGTGCGGGCGGGTTTGCCTATCCTCGAATCGGCGGGCGCACAGGTCCAGGTCTGGGGAGAGGTGAGGAGGGGACCTGTGCGCCCGCCGAGGCGAGGATAGGCAAACGCGCTCGCACCTGCGTTTTCTCTGAATCACCCGGTACGAGTTGACTAGCAGGGGACTCCTCGAGGCGCATGGTTCAGGTGTCGGAGGGGATCTGTACCGAGTACCACCCACCCCTCACCCCCACACACTGTAAAAAGCTTACGAACTAAATACTTTGCAACGTTACGAACAATTTTCGTTCTTTGTATTGCAAAGGAATTGTTCGTATCGCAAAGCGATTGTTTGTAAGGCTAGACGGGTCTTACGAACAATCGGTCTGCATTACGAACTATTTGTTCGTAAGCCTACGAACAATTAGTTCGTAATACAACGCTTCAAAATCCTTCGTAAGCTACGAACGTTTTGGTTACGAACCTATAGTTCGTAAGCAATTTACAGTCTCACCCTCAAAGATTTCGCGAGTGCGACTGGTGGACTGGTGGTCTTTTCGCGAACCCTCTTAAAGACTGCAAATTTTTCTCGGTTACAAGTACCTGGTTTAAAATACTTTGTATTGAATTTTTGTTTTAAAAAAATGTAATAGGGAGGCGTAAACCGTTATTCAATTTTAATGGGAATTTTATAAATGTTTATTATATTTGCTAGAACTTTTTACAGAAATATGTATACGTGTACTTCACCTGGTACGGTGCTTTAAACTCAGGGAAATTAAGGGAGAAAGGGTCTGGAAATCAGGGAAATCTCAGGGGGGAAAATAGATATGAAAATTTTGTGGCAACCATGTCACATTCGCTTTACACCTCCCCATGTAGCACGGCGATATCCGGCGATGATAGGTCGCGTGGAGGTTAACGCGGCGATGACTTAGCGATATTATCTAAAAACTATCGCCTGGCGGAGAGCGTGGCGATAACCTGTCGATGTCTAGTGTAATACATACTTCTGTCGATATCTGTTCGATATTCTCTGAATAAAGGGTACCTGATGTCGCCATGCTGTCGCTTACGTTTATCGCCTCGACAATCCGATGGCGTTTTAGACCTGGCGATGGTGACAAGATAACTAGAAGATATGGTAAATAGGATCAAATTGATACTCGCCAAAATTCTATCGCTAGGATATCCGTCTTTTGATAACGCTCAGGCGATAATTTTCCGATAACTTATGCCATATGCAACTTTCCAACAAATCACATTTTGGAGCGTAGAGTTATCGCCACGATATGGGATAAAGAATGTCGCTCACAGGATGACAAATTATTATTGCTTGCATGAAATATTTCGATAAGCTGGCGATACTTTGACCTGGCGAGAGAGCACCTGGGCTAGCGCCTCAAGAGCAATGCGGCGATAACTCGGCGACATGTTTGCAGCACTAATGCGGGGTAGATATCGAGGCGCTACTTTTTCGGCATCTTCAATAATAACCACAAATACGCACATTTACGGATATCTGTCAGATATTCTGTGATTAGCAAGCTACTAGTATCGCATGGCTGACGAATTTCGCTAAGTCCTCCACATGCATTTTCGCCCTGGCGATAACTTGGGGATATCTGAAAGATGTCTCAGACGACTCGCTGGTCTGCCAGTCTGTCGCTCGCGGGCGGGAAAGTCCCCGAGAGAGAGAGGCACACCGGTGGCTGACGCTCGGCTCTCAGCGGGTGTCCCGTAGCTGAATGGTCAAGGTAGCTTTCCAGTAATACAAAGGTATGTGGTTCGAATCCAACCGAGGTAAATTCTTTCAATTTTTTTTATCAAATTATGGTTCCAAATATATATTGCCTCAATATCGCTATTTTGTCGCCCGAGATATACCGCCGATTTGCAAACGTGGCGATGTCAGGGCGACGACATTTTTGACATTGCTGTAACTTTTGTGTCGCTCGGATAACTAAAGGTTCTCGTCATGGGCACATGCACTAACGGAATGAGTAGCGATTGTCAGGCGATACTACATCAGCGATCAATTAATGTCTACATCGATTCCATATAGTGGCGAAATACATCGTTCGAGACCCGTTGAAAAGTTCGTCGCCATTTCATCGCTTGCTTTGTCGTGGCGTTAGTGCTCGAGCGATATCGCCCGCAAAATGTCGAATCTTTGTCATCAGGCGACATCGAGGCGACAGTGCTATTTGTGCCAAACCTCATATCCGTATAACATCGCCGGCGATATCGCGGCGAAAAATAAAAGTCGCCGGCGATTACCTGGCGATAAACCCTGGATACGTTTGTGCTACATGGGTCAAAATTAATTATTCCGCGTATCTGGCCAAATGAGGCATGAGCGGCATCGCTCCTTCTCGCTCCGGACGCTAGGGCGCAGCATGCTCTGAGTCCACTAGGAGAAATTGTGCTCTCAACATAGAGATTTGGGTTAGATTTTAAAATTACATCAAGTAGTTTTATCACTTCTAAAGGGATCTTATTTAAGTTATTGTCGGGACGTGTATGGTCCAATCAAATGGGTGCACCTGGCTGGTTTATTTCTCATAGTGGACTCAGAGCGTGCTGCGCCCCAGCGGCCGGAGCTTGGAGTGCTGCCGCTCAGCCCGCATTGGACCGGGTGGCAATGTGGTATAAAACCCCTCCTACAGCATGTCTGTTTGGCTGATCTACCTCTTTGTTTCTCGTGTTAGGTTCTATTGATGTGTACTTGGACAAGGTACAGCGGCTTTTGGATGCACTCGACCTCGTGAAGACTGGCCTGAATCACCACCGCTGGGCTCTGCTGCAGATTCAGAATGAACTTGTCTTCGATAGCCTTGAGAATGGTGTGCCCACCGCAAATGACAAACGACTCGTGCTAAAGGTAACACTAAACTAACTTGTCATGTGACGATAAAAAATTGAGACGAGTAGTTTTTCACAAGGGTTCAGATAAACCAATCGTGACACTGTGACGAACCCTGGCAGGATAGTTGACGGAATATGGACAGAATCACTGTCCACTCGAGTGCAAAGTGTGTCTAGCACGTCTGAAATAAGGCCGTATTCTGTCTACTCCGTCCAGTATGTCTGCTTGCTGTCAACCTCGTCGGATTGCTGTCCTTATACGATGTCCGAAGTCTGTCCGAGCTCTGTCCGCCCTGTCCACATCCGAACCTCGTCGGATTGCTGGCCTAATACGATGTCCAAAGTCTGTCCGATCTCTGTTTACCCTGTCCACATCCGAACCTCGTTTGATTGCTGTCCAAATCCAATGTTCAAGGTGTGTCCGAAATCTGTCTGCCCTGTCAACACCCACCCGTACTTCGTGGGACTGCAGTCCAAATCCGATGTCCAAATTGTGTCTGAGGTCCGTCAGCCCTATCCAACCGATTTTGTTGGATTCGGAAAGTTTGGGTGTGGACAGGGCTGACAGAAATCGGACACACTTAAGACACCGATCTGACGAAGTTCGGACGAGGACAGGGCTGACAGATCTCGGACACATTTTCGTCAAGGATTCCACCTGTTTTCCGAAATTCGCGCTAGGGTGCGCTGCAAGGACACATTTTGGACATCGGATCAGACGTATTGAAGGATGGACTGGACGACAGAGGTGAGCATTGGGCGGTCCGCCTGGACCGGGATGGTCCGAAAACGACGGGTGGAAGTGAGACGCTCGAGCCGGCCAGAGCTCCATCTCACTCGCACTTCTCGCTTTCCGGACCATCCCGGTCCAGGCGGACCGCCCGATGCTCACCTCTGCTGGACGAGGGAGGCTTGGAATTGGACAGAACGGACACGAAACAGACGACTCAACCTTGTCCGGAACTTGTTGGACTTGTTGAACATATTGGACAGGCGTGTTTTTGTCCGTTCTCTGTCCGTTTAATCTCTGTCCACACTCTATCCATTCACTGGTAAAACAAATGTGCAAAATCACAACTTGCACACGTTTGGTGTGCAAATATTGCACATCACATGGTGTTTAACTCAAGTTTCACACTTGCGTGGTGTGCAAATATTAGACGTTTTGTAAACGTTTAAAATCTGCACACTTGGACACTCAAAGTTCTATGCTGTCAATAGGGAACCATACGGTGTGCAGCTGCTATACGTTTCCGAAGTGTCGAAAGTTTAAACACCAATTGACGTATAACATAGTTAGACACCACAAAGTGTCGAGAAATTGCACACTTGAACTTAAACGTCAATTGACGTGCAAAATCAAACACTTCTTTTACCAGTGTTTCATCCCGCCAGGGAAACATCTGTCAATGGAAATAAATGAAACGTTCGTTAAGTGGAAAAATGATTGTCACGAACATGGAAGCAAATAAGCGCTTATGGCGAGGCGCCAGGTACCGCAGCACGACCGTGCTACATATAGCCTTGGTCCCTGATAGCTGTGTGGTTAAAGAACGCTTGTTTCCACACAGAAGGTCCTAGGCTCTATTCCCATCGTATCGTATTTCTATTTTCCAGTTCTGTAACGACATACATTTTCAGGGTGTCGAGCGGTTCGGGAAATACGGGAAATATCCGGGAATTTTGCTATCAACTCGTGAAATCTCAAATTTCAAAGTGCGCCGTGTCTTTCTTCATGAATGAAATGGAAACTGCGCCAGAAGGTTACATTAAATCACCATTATCCCGCCCTTTTAAAACTATGCCTTAAAAATGGATTAAATTGACCAATATCTCGAGAACTAAAAGTGCCACGTCTAAACAGACGAAACCTCCGCCTTTAGGTCGTAAAATGGCGTGTACAGTAAGGGAGCGAGCTTGGTTTGCAATCTTTCAAACATTTTGATTTCGGTTTTATTACGTGAATTTCCGCGTAGAAAACTCCCTTTGGCGCCCAAACGGTTAGAGATGGAGCGAAACGAAAAGTTTTGCCCAGAGGGTTCTACTTTTACGAGTTACCCCTAAAGAAAATCCAAAACTAGAAGTTGGAGCCATCTGTATCTGTTGAAAGCTGAAAAGTGATGTAAGAAAATTGCCCAAAGGGCACTTTTGTAAAAATAAAATCAAAAATCCAAGGTTACGTAGTTTCAGGAGAGAAATTTGCTTAAAATAGACTTAAAAAAATAGAATTGGACCAATTTTTTTTTAAGGCTATACTATCTATCCTCTTTCCAATGAGCACTCGCCCAGACCTATAGGACAAAGACGTAAGAAGATATAATGAAAACAATTTGTTGTGGGAAACTTAAAAAAAGAGGAAAAGTGGAAAACGTCCTTGACTCTAAAATCTGAACGGCTTGGAGCTCAGGGCTGGGCGAGTGCTTTTTGGAAACAGGAACACTATTCCTAATCACCCGACTAGTGTCAGAGAGGGTGGTGCCAGGCCGGTGCCGGCTTGAGGCGTTTCGTCCCTCAGAATTGGAGTGGGTGAGTGGGCGCCACACAGTGGGCTGGATCCAAAAAAAGGTGGACATAATTCCTAGACGGCTCCTAACGACTATTTTTGAACTTTTTTGGTCCCTGAATTGTTCAGAGGGTCCAAGATTACATTTTCCAGCAGTGTTCCAGCGTTTGTTTCCATTATTTTGAAAAAAAAAAGTGCTAATTTTTAGAAAAAATATTTTTTTTGCCCAAAAATATTTACAATTTGATGAAAGAAGCTTAGAAGTTTGTTTTGTACTCGAAATGCGATGGAATTCCATGCCCCGACAGTAAAAGAAGGGAAATTGTCAGCAACCTTCCTGTCAGTCATGTGGGTGGACACCCAGTGCGCAGTGCGCACCTCTCCAAGTCGATTATTTAGGGAGAATTCGCCTTTTATGGATAATTCAACATGAGAAACAATATCATTTACCTATTTTCTATTAATTTTAGCCGGCCCGATTGTCGCCTTTGCCATAAAACTCAATAATAACAATATTTACGGTGGGGTACCATAACCTCTAAAGCGCATTACATTTTCACTGCTCATAGCCAATGTTGCGGATTGTAGCGGCTGTTTGCAGTCGGAATCTCTTCGCAATGGTTCAATCTTTCTCCTGATATGCCTCAAACGACGGAAATCCACGGAAATCGTTTTAAAACTCAATTGAAAGGTGGCACTCCCCGAGCGCCTCTTCTCATTACAGGCTTCCAGAAAACGTAAAGATAAATGATTAATATCTCCCAAATCTGGATGGGGCTCTATATATTTTGAAAGACAAAGGTTCGAACTATTTAAGAGAAATGTTGATTGTGGGATCTGTGAGCCAGGTAAAGAGCTATCGCTTTGCTAAATCATGTAAGTTACGGTGACCCGCGCGCGCATTTTCTTGGCGGCAGATATGCAAACTTTGCGGGCTCAGAAAAACCGTTCGAGGACACGTAGAGTTATAAGGCGACCTGTTCTAGATAGTTTGAACATTCTAGAATTAGGTTTTGAAAAGAAAATACACGGGCCAGACATCTCGAAATTCGATTAATGTCCACCTTTTTCTGGATCCAGCCCACTGTGCGCCATAGGCAGGGATGCCAGCGAGTCACTTTTTCGACTATTAGTCACTTTTGAAAAAAAATAGTGACTTTAGTCACTTTTTTACTGAAAAAGTCACTATTGTCACTATTTAATTGCTCGTGATTGAAAAATCCCACACGCTTTTCCCGTTAAGAAGAATTAGAGCTACCAATCGGTTTGAATTTGTCGCTAACAAACCGTCTTTAGCGTTGAAGAGACGTGTTTTGTGCCTGCGCTTATGCGACAAGCACCCATAGTGGTCTTCTGGCGTTAACAAGTAGGCGCCCTGCACTCTAAATGGTTGGGACAGGGACACGTATTGTATCTAAGCTAGATGTGTCCTTGTCAACATCTACATTAAATACAAACTTAGCCATAATGAATAGTTTGTGCTTCGACTAGGTCCAAATGCGTCATTGTGTCTGTAAACCTTGAGACAAATTTTCAATCCATTTAGATGTGCCCAAGGACACATCTATAATTGGTAAAAGATTGCTTTTTCCCATTGAGAGTGTGGCTGAGGGTAAAGGGGTGAAAAGCAGACATTCCCAAAAAGGGTACCTATTAAGATGGCATAACCCTTTCAGAAATGCTCTTTTTGTCGTAAAATGTCGATAAAAGAATCTTGCTGGCTTCGCTCGCCATTACCTATTCTAAAGCTAATACCTACCGTAATGCTCCCAAAACCCCAAACCAAAGTAAAAGACCCAATGAAGCCCATCGGTGCCGGAGCCAGATGGCTCGCGGCACCAAAAGTGCGAGCTTGTAACGGTGTCAAGTCGGACTACTAGTGTCGCGTAATCGCTCTCAAAAACACTCTTTTTGTGATAAAATGCCTCGCTCGCACGTCTCAATGGCCCGTTTATTGTTTTGATGAAAATAAATGTTTTCTTTAGGCCTATACATATCTAGCTTATTTTTCACAAATAAATATTTAAAAAACGCCAATTTCTAAGAGATTCCGGCGTATTTTCCTCCCTTTTTAAGTCACTTTTAGTCACTTTTCGCCCCCCAAATAGTCACTTTTAGTCACTTTTCGCCCCCCAATTAGTCACCTTTGTCACTTATTTGAAACCGTAGTGGCGCTGGCATCCCTGCATAGGCGGAACTATAGCGAGCGTTTTCCCCCACTCCTCTACGCTCGCTCACTCTGCTCGCCGCCCGGCGGCCCGGGGGAATGTGGTAGGGAGGAGGGAGAGAGTGGGGCCGCTTGTAGCTTAGGGTGTAGCGTACTCGGTTGACTTTTGAATTTTAATAACGGGCCCCCCTCACTTCAAGCCATTTTCGATGTAGTTTTCGGAACCGACCTTGTTTTTTCGCTCAGACAAAGACTTCAGGTTCCTACCTCGCCTCAAAGTTGAGAAATTTCACTATTTTGCTCTAAAATCGGATAATTCGGGTAAAAAATATTCCAAAGTAGTACAGAGACGCTTCATGAGTGGCAAATGTTGCTTATACATCTAACAAAAGTTTGCCACCTGTGACCGGCCATGAGAGAACCATTTTAGGCCGTTTTTACGGCGACATTTCTACAAAATTACTCAAAAAACGCACCAAATCGTTATTTAATCCGGCTCTGGGGACTGGATACGGGTCCTAGGCAGTCCGGGGGTGGCCTTACGGATTGTATGTAACCACCAGAAGGCAAAACAGGGGGGGGCGAATTTTCCGACAGCCGTAGGCTGTGGGAGGGGAGTAGATAGGACAGGAACCAGGGCGGAATTTCGGGAAACGGATGAGGCGCCTAGTGTGCTTGGCAGTGGTTTGTCATTTGGGAAAGGGTTAAGTTGCGCAGGTCTTAGCCTGACATAGCCTAGTGCTCTGCCAACCCAGGGCTCACCACGAGGAGGTGCCTGCACTTCGAGCCGCGCCAACATACCCACCCGGGCATGGTTTTTACGTTTTAAGCTGAGCGTTGGTAAGAGGCTGTCAACTGCCCCTTGGTTTTAAACTTGCATTGCTGCCCGGCCCCCAAAGGTAGTGCGTGTCTGCCGTTCTCTCCGCTCTTTTCCTACCATTGTGGCCGAAGTGATAACCATTCGCTCGCAGGGCCGTCGGAAGTGTTTTTCGGTAGGGGGGGCCAACTTAGACGAAAAGCGGGGGGGGGGGGGGATTTTTTTGCATACAATTTTTTTACTACTAATTGGTTGTATCTTTCCTTAGGACATACTTTTTTTTGTCCAACAATTTTTTGCACAAAATTGTCCTAAGCACTTTGCGTCTTTCTTATAGTGTGCCCTCATCAGAGTCAATCGACAGTAGTTTCAGTGTCCGTTTCTTGTGGACATGAAGCAGCATGCAGTGTGAGACGGCCATGGTCTCTCATATGCTTGAACGCAAGCAAGGCGTTGTTATACGTCTCAACACACTGAATGACCACTCACATGCGCCACCGGCCTCACAATGCCAGTTAAATCCTCGACTTTCCAAAAAGACTGGGGGTTTCGGGAAAACCTCACTTTCTCCCTAATATTTCTTGGAATTCTGGGGGGGGGGCGGCGCCCCCCCTAGAATATTTTAGGGGGGGCGAGTTGCCCCCCCTGCACCCCACTTCCGACGGCCATGTCGCTCGACCGCCTGTATGCTGCAGGGAAGGACAGGAAAGCTGAGGCGGTGCTGCAACGAGATGGCTGCGTGCAGGTCCTCGTCGGCGACATCGCTGAGCAATAGCAAAATTTAACACCAAGGGGCAGTTTAAAGTACCTCACCAACGTTCAGCTTAAAACGTTGAAACTATGCCCGGGTCGTTTGGTTGGCAGGGCTCAAATTGCAGGCACCTCCTTGTGGTGAGCCCTGGGTTAGGAAAGCACAAGGCTATGTCAAGCTAAGACCTGCGCAACTTAACCCTTTCTCAATTGACAATGCATTGCCATGCACACTAGGCGCCAGCGTGCCAGGTAGCGGTGACGCGATCACAGGAAAAAGTTTTAAAAACAGGTATTTGCGCCTGTGGTGACGTCACTTAGACTACCCGCGTTACACGCCTGTAGCGCATCGTAGCCTAGTACGCAGGCGTTTTTGACATTATTAAATTTTTCCAGTAATTGCGTCAACGCTACCTGGCACGCTACATAGTTTTGGATAGGGCACGGTACGGCGTACGTATTGGCAAAAACAATATGTTTGATTTTGCCAATTTCGGCTGCCAGGAGCGAGCCGCGCGGACCGCTACGTTTGAGCCCCTGGAGACACCCGGTCAGTCGCGAGCTTGGATTCACCATGTCGGATGTGAAGCAGGACCCATATGGTCAGAATTTAAACCCGAGTGTCAGCACGGCAGAGCCAATAAGATGGCGGTGATGATTGAGGTGCCGACGTCGAAACTTTTTTTTTTGGTGGAATGGCCTAGGTCACAGGTGGCAAACTATTTTTTAGATGTTTAAGAAACATATGCCACTCATGAAGCGTCTCTGTACTGCTTTGAAATATTTTTTACCCGAATTATTCGATTTTAGTGCAAAATAGTGAAATTTCTCAACTTTGAGGCGAGGTAGGAACCTGAAGTCTTTGTCTGAGCGAAAAAACAAGGTCGGTTCCGAAAACTACATCGAAAATGTCTTGAAGTGAGGGGGGCCCGTTATTAAAATTCAAAAGTCGACCGAGTACGCTACACCCTATGTAGCTCGTAGTTGGGAAACCACTGGTTCCGAACCAGGCCAGGCGGGGATGGAGCGCCGGCGGAACTTTAGCGAGCCCTCACTGTAGTTTACAGTGAAATTCACATCCTAAATCTGAAAACACTTTGATTGTCAATCTAATAAATGAGGAATCACATGTTTATGATATGGTTAAAAAAATTACAATAAAAGTCCTTTAAGATTTAGTGTGCACTTAGCTTACGGCGAAATTAACCGTACGCTCCAGTGCTGCAGCGTTCACTGAAGCTTACGGAGTAATTCACCATAAGCTTTTTATTAACAGAGTTCAAAATTTACCCGTTTTGGGGGCGTTCTCTTTGAGCCCTCGTCGTCCACAAGAGCACTCTCACATTTTGCAAATAGAAAAACTCGCTTTTGCAGCAGTAATACTCACAAATATAGTATGTAATACTAATTATTCTGTTACGAAGTACTTAGGATGATCTTCCTAAGTAGTTCCTAACAAAATAATTAGTATTACTAAATTTGTGAGTATTACTGCTGTATAAGCGAGTTCCTTGTGTGTTTGCACAATGTGAGTAACAGGCTGAGAGTGAGACGAAACTTTGATAAAATAACAGACAATTGGCGACAGAAAAGTTGCCGCCGCCGTTAATCGCTCATCCCTTGCCTACTCACCCTTGTTCTGTCGCGTATCCTCCTGCAGTGGAATGGCGCGCCATTCGTGACATCGTCGCGACGATTTAGTTACTGACAAGGGTTGGTGGCTAATGAATTGCAAACGTCTCTTTCTTTTTACAGAAACGTTTGCTTCAGCTGAAAGAGAATTTGGAAAATCTGGCACCATACTATTTCAGTGCGGAAGAGAAGAATCACTTCGAGTCCACTTTCAACAGACCAGGCCAGATGTTTTTGAAGTTTCTCGATAAAATATAACTAGATTAACTTTGAATCCTGGATCACATATGTGACTCGAAAAACGGAATAACTTGGTAATTTGTTTGCCCATTTTTTTTTTGACTAAGTGCCTGTAAACGGTACGGTATTTGTCATCGTTAATAAATAAATTTTCTTGATATCAGTAACTCCTGCCAGAATCTCATTCTATAGAATGAACAACATGTGTGGGGAAAATCCCACAAATGTATATGAAGTTATTTACATATACATGTGTGGGATTTTTCCTACACTGCTGTGTGGGAAAAATTCCATATGCGTGCAGCAGATTTCGTTGACAGGTGTGGGATTTTTCCTGTACGCATCTTTAAAAAGAAAAATGGTATTTTTGGGGCTGTGGACTCGGATCCTACTCCTACTGCACCCTCACTCCTCGTAATTTACATTTAACTACACAATACTAAAAACCTCATACTTTACCGGACGGGGAGTCGAACCTTGGACTTCTGGGCTTCGATCCTGTCACGCTGACCACTAAACCACGGGGAGTTGTTGGGAAAGAGGCCGTAGCGTCCCCGGGTGATCCCAGAGCCGCGCGGTCGGCCCCACCCGGCCATTCTTGGAGGCCAGGTGCGGGCAGCAGCCACCTGCCCTTTGCGTAAGGGATTTCCAAATGCATATTTTGATTTCGGGAATTATGTTTAACTCCGTACCCTAATATTTTGATATATTTCTCTTGAGGAGCACTCTCGACTCAACATGATTCCTTTGAGACCCCAGCAGGACCACGAGACTACTGATTAATTGTACCTAAGCAGCAGGACTGATGTGTCCACAAATCATGAACTGTAATTTAACTATTGGGTTGTCGGAAATTTTCAAGATAAAAATAGCTAAATTCCCACACTTGTTTGGGAAAATTTCTTTCTGAACACATTTAGGCATTTTGCTATAATAGTGTGGGATTTTTCACATACGTATCGGTTTTTCCCAATACACTTTTTCGTGTATAGGGAAAATCCTACAAATGTGTAAGAAATTTCGCGTCCCACACGCGCATGGGATTTTCCAACACACTTGTATGGCAAAAATCCGAACATTTTTCACAGTGATAGCTCCTAAGGTGATTTCAGAAGAAAGGGATATCAGAAGGACCTCCGAACCCTCACTCTTAAAATCTAACGAACAACTTTGTTCATATTATGAACGTCGTGTTCATAATATGAACAATTCGCATGCTGTCATAATACGAACACAATTTGTTCGTATTATGAATCCGCACGTTCGTAATATGAATGTTCTCGTTCATATTATGAACAATTTTGGGATCAGTACCTTACTAAGCGATCGGTTTTCCTTTCATAACGTACGAATCCAAAAATCATTCATACTATGAACGAAGACGTTCATATTACGAAAGAGGGGATTCGTATTACGAACAAATTGTGTTCGTATTATGACAGCACAGAATTCTTCATAATATGAACATGAGATTCATAATATGAACAGTGGCGTTCATATTATGAACACTATTTGTTCGTAAGATTTTAAGAGTGCTCTTTCAGTCCTCTAAACTGTTGTAATTTACAGCCAGGAAAGGGGTGTTTGAGGAATAATTAACCAAGGGTTCAACTTCAGTATGTTCGAATGTATTATCAGAAAAGTAGCACAAGTAAACACACGTCCACACAGTACAACAGCTGGAGAGCGAGAGAGAGTGGAAACCGGATACAGAGAGCTGGAGCTACAGCAGCGCGCTTAAGTGGTCACTACCCAGACTACAATAAGGGGCGACATAGTTTCAATAGAGCCCGATAGATGGCAGCAGTCCTCAGGAGAGTGTATAGTTATGTACAAGGAAATTGTGTATTCCAACATAAACGAGAGGGACTAGAAAGGCCGACGGCTATAATTTTGAGGGGAGAGACGGTTATAATCGGATAATGCTCTGGTTTTGAAAGTTATTTCAATGTTGGCAATAGTACAGTGTTCATTTTCGAAAATTATTTCATTTCAATGTTGGCAATAGCATATTGTTTTCTGAAGATTACCTTGGATGTACATGATTGTACAACCATTGAAGGAAGGAAGGAAATAAAGTGTAACAACTAAAACTGAGTAATTTCTGTACATGTTTTTTTAACAAAGAAAATAAATATCACATATACATCATAATAAATATTCTTCTAGCTGACGCTCAAAAACAAAATCTGCAAAAATGATTTCAGAATTAGGTAAAGTTGTAAATTAATGTAAATCTTACACGAGTTAATACGTACCTATTAATACTGTAAAATATACAGTTGGAAAAAATCAATGGAACCATCAATACAAATAAGCAAAATTCAAGAATCAGGTCATTATTCGGAAAATAGATGTTTTGCTGGTGAAGTCATGGGACTTGTTGCACCTGTAATAACACAATAAATAAACATTAAGGTCCATCTACAATGGAGGTTGTAGGTCGTAGGTGTAAGAGATGGCCCATCTCCATCTCCTACTCCGCGCCTTGCGCCCACTCCTTACATCTCCATTGTAGATGGGCCTTTAAACATTACCTTTATCTTTCGGTGGTAACAAGCTATATAATAGCTGTAAAAAAAAAAAAAAAAAAAAAAAAAAAAAAAGACAGGGCATCAAACATGTTTGATACATATGGAGAAACATGAATAAAAATTTAATTACGATCAAATACTGGGAAATTGTAGAGACTAATCTTGGCATGAGTGAGCATCTTTGATATGTAATTGTCCCCTACTTGCCCGTAGGAAACCGCATACCATTGCTCACCACTTCTGATAGCTTCATTTAGATCCTTCATATCTTGAGCATTCAGTTTTTGGAAAGTGAAATCGCCGTAAAGTTGCAATTTGAGACCCGGCTTGTACTCCAAGAATACAATATTGGATTTCTGCCCTGGTTTGCTCTTATTGTTCATTCTATCAGAACCAAGTGCCTTAAATGCAATGAATGGAGGGAGCACTTCAGGTCTAACATATACAGCCATATCATTGCTAGATTTCAGTTTTTAGCCCGCCCTTCTGCTTTTAAAAAAGCATTAAAGCGGGCTCATGCAACCGCTCTCGTGTCCCTCCGTCCGTCGTGCGTGTAAGAGGAAGGAGATGAGCTAGAGGTCTGAAAATTTCAGGGTATCTTGAGGTTCACTCCCTGAAAACGAAACGCCTATGGCAATCCTGTCAACCACCCCCGAGGGGGTATTCACTTCAGTAATACCCTGTACACGATGACTGTAATACCCTGTAATACTCAGTAATACCCGGTAATACCTTGTAATACGCAGTAATACCTGGTAATACGCAGTAATACCCGGTAATACGCTGTAATACCCTGTAATACCCTGCAATAGTGTGTACCACTGCTGAACCTCACTTAGCCAGAACGTTACAAAATCAGTTGTCCTACAAAACTGCAATAGATGATAAGACGGGACATATAGATTTCTTTCTGGGCGACCAATGGACGTTAGCAAAATGAAGCTGAAACATTGATGAAAGTAGTAGTTGATACAAAACGTGTTTCGTTCAAAACCAATCAAGAATAATCACTGTCATTCAATTCTTGTGCTTTCATTTAGCTAAGCCTGGTTGACTCGAGTCGAAACAAATGTGACATCATGTGTTTACCAATGTGACAGTTTCAAAATGTAATCAATTCTGAAAGATGTTGCACTTTACGAAGATGACAGGTTTTCTGACACACACACACACACACACACACACACAAACACACACATACACACAAAGAATTACCTAAAATAGCTGAATGTTTTTGCTAATTTTGCAATAGCTCAGAATATAAGCTCGATTAGCTAATTATAAGCAAAAAGAGCTAAGATATTAGCCTTACAGCTACACTGTAAAAAGCTTGAAAAGAAATTCGAATCGTTGTAAAATGCTTTGCATTGAGATCCTTCGCATTGCAAACTAATTATTTGCACCTTTCGAAGAAAATAGTTAATAACGCTGCGAAGAATTAGTTCCTAACCTTGCGAACCGTTTCTTCGCAACTTACGAATAAAATAGTTTGCAATGCAAACTTCCTTACAATGCTTTAAAATTCTTTGTAAGAATTTCGCAGTGTAGGCTCGCGTCTAGGTCGTTCTTTTCTACACCGGTGTTAAGGCTCAGTTCTTACTCTGAAAACGTAACTGTGTAAGGGAGAGTGGGGCACCAGCTGTCAGGGGCACAAACTGTCAATGAGCTGGCAATGGCTAGTCACTTTCTAATGTTGTCAAGCTAAAAAGAAATATGAGCCAAAAACCTGGACGTGATCATTGATGATCTTTTAACTTAATAAATATAGGCAAGGCAAACTAATATTCTGAGCTAAGGTCAAATTACTGTATGTATGTACGCTTTCGAAAAAACCTTTTTCAGATGATCAGTAATACTTGGTAATACCAGGTAATACGCTGTAATACTTGGTAATACCTGGTAATTCGCTGTAATACTTGGTAATACGTGGTAATACTCGGTAATACCTGGTAATACCCTGTAATACCCAGTAATACTCGGTAATACGCGTAATACCCGTAATACGGAGTAGTCTGTACACGAAAATCCGAAGTGAATACCCCCTCGACCACCCCTACACTCTCAGCCCGTTACTGACATTTTGCAAATACACAATGAACTTGCTCATACAGCAGTAATACTCACAAAATTGCACGTAATACTCACAAATTTAGTAAGTAATACTAATTATTTTGTTAGCAAGTACTTAGGGCGCCGCTCGGATCGTTCCCCTCGCATTATGGGGGTGATGCAATAAAATGGTATGGACGGTCGAAGTGCGATTCCAAAGCTATGGGTCCAAGCTACATTCCGGCACAAACCCCGACCGAAAAAATTGAACGGTACTCTTGCTAGAGCGAAGTACCTAGATTCCGGGTACTTACGCCCTACGTTTTGAACGGGGTGGAGCGCGCGGTCGCAACCACGTCCGATGTGAAGTATATACCCTAGGTAGTCTCCACTGAAACGGGCGTGGTCGTAGGTGGCACCGTTTCGCCGCAGCGCGGCTTGGAACATGACACTCGTGTTACCCGCCAAAAGCAATGTTAAGCTTTGACCGCGAGGCACGTATGGTTCCGGGGGTCGCAAAAGCCCCGGACAACGACTCCCTCTCTTAGGATTGACTAAATTTTCATTTTAAATGCGTTCCGACATGATCGAACACTTGACCCTCCAAAATGAAACGGCCTAATGGCAAGCCCTCTGGCCTTTCGATGCGCTTCTCATGAGGGAGGAACTTTCTGACCAGTCTAGCCTGGTTCAAGAGGATCGTATCCACTTTCCTAGTCACAGACTCAATGCTTGTTTGCATCCGAAACATGAGCTTCCCCACAGACTCGTTCCCTGTATAAACCAACACATATAAATACTAGGTAGATGTACGCCAGACCACGTCTCGCGTAACAGGCTTCGCGATATCTCACGAAACACTGTTACGCTGCGACGCGCCTGGCATACATCTACCTA